TGATCCCAGGGTCCTGGGATCGAGCCCCGCATCGGGCTCCCTGCTCGGCGGGAAGCCTGCTTCTTCCTCTCCTGCTCCCCCTGCTTGTGTTCCCTCTCTTGCTGTCTCTGTCAGATAAAATCTTTAAAAAAAAAAAAAATCAGTAGGCTTAGCACTGGGAGAGCCAGGAGGGCAAGAGGACACAGAGCCCTCACCCTCAAAGAGACAGCATAGAAGGAGCAGTATGAAAAACATCTGAGGCATACAGGAGGGACAAGCTGTTGGGAGGTTCCTCCAGGAACAAAGGAATTAGTAGGCGCCATTTCCACACCCCCCGACTCCCCAGCATAAATGCACAGCCCCCATGCACACTGCTCAACGTGCTCACACACATCTCCCGCCCCCTCCAATGCCTCTTGGCCAAAGCCCCTGTGTTCAGTGCAGCGTTATTTACAATAGCCTGATTATGGAAGCAGCCCAAGTGTCCATTAATAGATGAATGGATAAAGAACAGGTAGTGTATATATTATATATATGTACACATATATAATAGACACAATAGAGTATCATTTAGCCATAAAAAAGAACGAAAGCTTGCCATTTGCAATGACCATGAATATAATGCTAAGTGAAAATAAGTCAGAGAAACACAAATACCATATGATTTCACTTTATGTGTGGCATTTAACAAATGAGAAACCAAAAAAAACTCTTAACTACAGAGAAACTGATGCTTACCAGAGGGAAGGTGGGGATGGGGGAAACGGGTGAAGGGGACAAAAAGCTCGCTTACGATGATGAGCACTGAGTAATGAATAAAATTGTTGAATCACTATATTGTACACCTGAAATATAACACTGTAGAGTAACTATACTGGAATCTAATACAAAAAATACACAAAACGCCAGTGTACAGCAACAGTGACCCACACTACTTCCAGTCTTCAGTAATTTAGGCCTGAAAAGCTACCTCCAACAGTTTCCATCCCCGTGCTGTTGAAATGCTTGGACCTCCACGAAAGGAAGCCCCCGCCTAGACTCCTGATAAAGGCTCAGGTAGAGAGGTCCCTTGGAGAACAGAGGCACTCCAGCTGGCAGCCGGTACCAAGGCCCCTAACATAAGACTGGGGCCACCTTGGCTCCTCCAGCCCCCGCTGAGTCTCCCCAGCCAACCCCATTTGGAGCAGATCCAAAATGCAAACCCATAGGAAAATCATGGTTTCAGGTCACTGAGATCTGAGGCGGTTTGTTATGCAGCAAGAGGACTGAGAACAAAATCCTGTTGCAATTAAGAAATGAATAATCAAAATTGGAAACACTACTCCACCGTGGCTCTGTCACTTATAAGCTATAAGATTTTGTGGAAGCTGCTTGAGAGGCCTAAGCCTTAATTTATCTCATCTGTAAAGTTACGGATAAAAACTGTTGGGTCAATATTTCTGAACACAACCAAAATTAGTCTTAAGTGTGTGTTTGGCAATGTCCAGAAAAATTAAACAGTCTCTTCTGTTACACAATATTTGCATTCTTTTAAGAAATCTTGTATAATCAACAATTCTGTTATAAAAACGACTGCTCCCACAGGGAAAAGGGGTTTAGGATCTCCAAAGGTTCAGATTTACAATAAAAGTTATTTTCTGCAAGACTTTAATAATAGTTTATGGCTCTAAAACCTAAACCTCCCTGAGCAAATCCAGCATTTAATCATATCCAGGTTCTGCTCAAAAGGCCTTTCGTGTACTATATCCACCAAGACTGTCACTCACACTTCCTTGTACACATTCCTATCTGGGTCATCTGTGGCTTTTCATAAAGCGCAAAATGGAAATACAGTTAATACAGCCCCCCTGTTAAATCACCACTTGGATCATAAGAATGTTGAAGGAAAGAACCCAGAACCAATCAGCTGAGCAAACCAAGTGTCACCACTTTCACTATGAACACTTCCAGTTCCCAGTCAGGAAAGTTTCGTTATAGCCTGGGTAGCAAACGGAGTTCTGTAATCTGTCACATTATATCGCATTTTGGTGTTAAAGCGATCCTGCGAGAGAAGAGTCTGTACCGTAGCCTACCCGTGATGCAATAAAACCTGTTAACTCCGCTTACCTTTTATAATGACTGGTATGTTCAATGGCTAATTTCACTTTGAGCTATTTATGGAGAAAACAAAACCCTATTAACTAAAATCTACAGCAACTTCACCTACCCCCCCACCCCCCAACACAGGATTATGGAATCATGAAAGCATCTGCTCTTCACGGTACAGTTCTGCTCTGAGCAGCCTAAGCGGACAGCTCCCACATTAAAAGGCTTACTTTACTCTTCTACCAAGCTAAGGAAAATGACGTCCTGTCTTTTATCTCCATTTTCTTCTTTAGAAACTTAGGGAGTGTGTGAACACATACCAGCACTGGAAACCCCACCGCATCCAGGAGATAAAGAGAAAACTGGTCCGTCCAGAGTAGAAGACACCACGCTCAAGATCAGGTTCACGACATCCTCAGAATACTGTCTTGGAGACTAGCACTGTTTAAGCTAGAAGATGCCGCTTGAAGGGAAATGCATACCAGACCTACAGATGGGAGAGAAGGAAAGGACAGAAAGGTGTGGAAGGAAGTAGAATCTCTAAGATGTTTGAACAGGAGCCAGTAAGAACGAGAAATCATGCCATCATTAAGGAAAAGCCAGGAGCATTTGGGGAGGACAAAGCAAGGAAGTCACAAATAGTAAAAGCCAAGAAACGTGCCCCTCTGTCAGCACCCACACAGGTCATCTCCTGAAGCAGGCAGCCGCAGAAAGCAAAGCAGCAGCGAAAATCGGCGCAAAGCACAGCTGTTGGCATACTGCACGTGGAGCCTGGACATCATCACAGGGACCCATCGATGGGCCTTAGCCAGACTGGACAGGACAGCAACAATCCGTACTGGAAGGCCATGGTAAGAGTCCTTCCTGTGAAACTGACCACAACCATTATAGGGACGATTTCATCACGTAACCTGTTTTTTACAGTGACCCTTGGGTGAAATTTCTCTTTGGTCTTTAAGATTTTGACAGACACAGCGAGAGAGGGAACACAAGCAGGGGGAGTGGGAGAGGGAGAAGCAGGCTTCCCGCCGAGCAGGGTGCCCGATCCCAGAGCCCTGGGATCATAACCTGAGCCGAAAGCAGACGCTTTATGACTGAGCCATCCAGGTGCCCCTCTCTTTGGTCTTAATAGTTGTAGTTCTCCTGGGCATTGTTCAGTTTTTACCATATGGACTCCTGTAGCATTTTCTCATGGGCTGCTGGAGAGCCCAGAGCCAACTGGCCCACCCATTGTAAGTCTTTGTGGTATACACTTACCCTCAAGCCTGGCTCCATTTCTTAAGTCCCAGTTTTTTGGGGTTTTGTCTTTTTAATTTATGCTATCTTGTCATATTTTATTATAAACAGCCTTACATATCTGGAATAGATCCAAGTACAAACAAATCCACAGAGTGTAAACATGGCTGTTTCAGAAAATGATCTTACTGCACAGTGACCGTGTGTATTCATTCACCTTTCCCCAAACAGGCATTCTGTGTGGAGAATGGGCGGGGCATTGTGCTAGGCACAGGGGATTCAGAAATAAGACAGATGTGGCCCTGCCTTTACATCTGGTCAGGAAAAGACAAGATAAACTACAAATTGTTTAACAGCAAAAAACAAGGACCTGATAAGGAGAACCGAAGGGACTGGGGATATACCGTGGTAACTCTATAAATTCTGAAGGATTGGGAGCTGGGACTGGACCTTGGGGGGGGGGGGGGGGAGGAAAGGGTGTTTTTAAGTTGGGTAAGACCTTTTATCCAAAGGGAACAGAACAGGCAACAGCTTGAGACAAGGAAGAGAGTCTGCCATTTAAAGAAATAAGAGCTGACCTGAGGAAAGACCATAGGATGAGGGTGGACAGGCAGAGGTCAGATCACTCAAGGCCTCTCAGTCTAGGTTAAGGAGTATAGATTTTTTTCTAGGGCAACAGGAAACCACTGAGGGATTTTTAACCCTAGGTCAGACATCATCCCTTTTAAGGTTCAGGGTTTCATTTTCTGCTGCATAGGACTGAAATCCAAGAGGTAGTGCAGAAGCAAAGATAACAGTTGCAATAGTCTGGACCAACGGTATGGATGGCCTAGACCAGGTGGGTGGCAGTAAAGAGCCCAAGTTTAGATATATTTGGTGAAATATTGGATGCAGAGGATGTGTGAAAAGAAGGATCCAAAATTGCTTCTGGATCCATCTAGAGCAACTCACACAGGTATTAGTGGAACAAGTGAGAGCAGGAGGGTTTGTATTGTGAGTGGGGGAGGGGAGTAGAAATTACCATCTATTTGGATGTATCTTAAATGTAGACCACTGGATATGTGAATTGCTGAAACTCAAAAAATATGTATCCCTCCCAAGACCCTGTCCCAGGAAAGTACTAGACTGTATGCTCTACCAAAACAGAGTAAATCAGAAAAAGGGGAAAATAGGGGATCCAGGAAACCCAGAATCTGACACCAGAAAGATTTCCCAGGCTGATCCCTTAGTAAGGGAGATCCCAAGGACACAGCTGGGTTAGTGAGAAACCAGTTCAGACCAGGGCAGGCCTCAAATTCTGGAAGGAATTCCTCCAAGTTTGAAATGACAGAACACTTAAGTATGTTGAGAGGAACTTATTACAAACGAGGGTGATGTGGGGGTTGGATTCATGATTTTTTTTTTTTAAAGGCAAAAAAAACATTATGAGCTCCAGGAAAGGCAAAATATGGAAGAAAGGAAAAGCACTGAGCACTTAGCAGGGCTCAGAGGTCAGTAACATTTCCACAATCATCTTATAGACAATGAAAACTGGTCTATCCCAAACCGTAAGTACATGGAGGCAGAGATGGGCAGCGCATGGATGGTGGCTCAGGACAGTGGAATTCTCTCCTCCCACAGAAGGGATTCATCAAGAGACAACACCAAAAATTGGGGAAAAGTGTTATAAGTTATTTAGAGCTACAGATGTAAAAATCAAAGAAACGAGTTTTAAACATCGGAACGTGGTTGCGGCAGTGGGAAAGGAGGGTTTGGGAGGGGATGAGGGCCTGTCTTCTCAGCTGTGGAGTCACTGGACTCTAGATAATATTCAAAACTAAAACTCTGGGAAGACATTTAAAAAGTCAGTCAGACCACGGATTTTACTTTACTATGTAACACACTGAAAAATGCACATCAGAACATTAAAAACAGGGCAACAACTATGGCTACCTTCACTTCCGAACACCTACGGTGCTGATAGTGAAGCTAATGTGTTGTTAATTTTGCTACCAAGAAAGAGTCAAAAGAAAGTCGTTCACTTGGTTTAAAAAGATTCTAAATAGAAGTGCCTGGGTGGCTCAGTCTGTTAATCGTCTGCCTCCGGCTCAGGTCACGATCCCAGGGTCCTAGGATCGAGTCCCATATGGGCTCCCTGTTGGGCAGGGAGCCTGCTTCTCCATCTGCTGCTCCCCTTGCTTGTGCGTGTTTTTTTTTTTTTTTTTAAAGATTTGACAGACACACAGAACACAAGCAGGGGGAGTGGGAGAGCAGGCTTCCCGCCGAGTGGGGAGCCCAATGCAGGGCTCAATCCCAGGACCCTAGGATCATGACCTGAGCCGAAGGCAGACGCTTAATGACTGAGCCACCCAGGCACCCCCACTCTAAAAAAAATTTAGAAAAAGACCCTAAATATAAAAGTAAAAACAGGTACAAAACTAAATGAAATATTAGCATTCTTTTTGAAACTATACTTTCATCTGCTAAGAACACACTCCATTCATGGTATGGTGTTATCCTGGGGGGTCAAACCCATAGAAATGCCTTTGAGGAAAAACGAGCTTATTCTTGTGAAATGTAAGCAAGTAACTGTCCCTGGTCCATTGTCTCATACAGAGTTCTGCTCTGCTCCACATGGGCATCCCAGGTACAGTACTGAACTTCCCCTCTAGAAACAGTCTCTGAATTAGGCATACCTGTGAAAATAGGAGATCACACATTAGTGATGATGGAAGTACCACTCATCCATGATTTCATTCAAGAGAAATAACTCAAACCTCCATTTTATTTGGGAGAAAAAATGGTTAAAAACATGCATATTGGGTTTTGTGTGATGACATTTTTGTATTGAAGACTGCATTTCTTTGAGATGAATATTGAAACGTGTAACGGTAAAAGGACATGTCTGGGATTTGCTTTAAAACACTCTAGCAGAGGGGTGCCTGGGTGGCTCAGTCGTTAAGCGTCTACCTTCGGCTCAGGTCATGATCCCAGGGTCCTGGGATCAAGCCCCGCATCGGGCTCCCTGCTCCGCGGGAAGCCTGCTTCTCCCTCTCTCCCACTCCCCCTGCTTGTGTTTTCGCACTGTGTCTCTGTCAAATAAAATCTTAAAAGAACTCTAGCAGGGATGCCTGGGTGGCTAAGTGTCTGCCTTCAGCTCAGGTCATGATCCTGGGGTCCTGAAATCCAGCTCCGCGTCAGGCTCCCTGCTCAGCGGAGAGCCTGCTTCTCTCTCTGCCTGCCACTCCCCCCGCTTGTGCTGACAAAATCTTTAATACTCTAGCAAAGAAAAAAGGGAATAGAGCAAATGGTGAAGAATATTGATAATCATGGATGTTGGTAGTGAGCCTTTGGGACTTGATTTTCCCACCATAGATTTCATGTTTTCATAATTTAAAAAATGTACCCAGAGGGAAAACATGGTTAGCTTTTTGCTTTCAAAAAAAAAAAAAAAAGGGGGGGGTAGTTTGTACTTCTTCCTCTTTGTGTTTGTGATGCAAGTATACCGAAAAGCCAAGGCTGCAGTTTAAAGCCATCCCATTATACCCTCAGCCTGGTGAAAGTGCTTTCAGAGGCAACCCGGGTTGAGATGCAGACCAAGCAGGGTAGAATACAAGCAGAGATGAACAGAATCAAGCTTCAAGCTAATGAGGAAACTGTCAACGCAAAACTCCAGTAGCCTGCCATCTTGTTAAAGCAGGACCACCTAACCATGGAAAAGGATATTAAAAGGGAATTATCTGGTCCAGGTATTTACCCAAATGATACAGAGTGATCTGAAGGGGCACCTGCACCAATGTTTATAGTGGCAATGTCCACAACAGCCAAACTATGCAGAGACCAGATGTCCATCGACAGATGTCTAAAAATGGTATATATGCAGCCATCAAAAAAATGAAATCTTGCCATTTGCAATGACATGGATGGAACTAGAGGGTATTATGCTGAGCGAAGTAAATCAATCCAAGAAAGTTATAGGATTTCACTCATGTGGAATTTAAGAAAATGGGAGGATCGTAGGGGAAGGGAGGGATAAAGATGAAATCAGAGAGGGAGATAAACCATAAGAGACTCCTAACTGTAAGAAACAAACTAAGGTATACTTGCATCACAAACACAAACTAAGGAGGGTAGGTCGGC